TAAAAAATCCTAATTGCTCAATACACTGTTGATTGATGATGATTACTAAACAAAGTTCATATATCTTCCACACCCACTGAATAGGTGCTTCCCTTCCTCTCCCCCCCCCTCCCACCCACCTTGTTCTATTTTACCACACATCTACTACTAACAACCCATTAAGGTTCACATTACATCGAGTATACCTCTCATGTATACTATACGAAATCCCCTAGACCCCCGGCCAAACGGTGGGGGTCCTCTATTCCTTTCACTCATGTCCTTTCCCATCGTTAAACAATGTTCACCCCAATTGTGAATCTTCTCATGATGATATTTGTTCTTTTTCTCATGTATGTTAAACATTTCCTTTTTTATTCTTCTTTGTTTTTCTTTTACATTGATAAAAAATAAAAAATATTTGAATATAAAAGGGCAATCATATACAATAAAATTAAATTTTACTTTAAAAAAAAAAAAAAAAAAAAGCAATCAAACTTGCAAATGATACCATTTTTTTAAGAAATTATGATGAGTGGTTATTTTATCTAGTACCATGTTTAAAGACCTTCCTTCCACCCATCTCTGTCTTCCAACCCTCCCCTTCACCCATTTATATGTTTTCTTTAAATGCCTGAAGCTCTGTTTTACTTATCCAAGTCAACTTTCATGTATCTTGTTGGTGTGATGCAGTCTGTGCCTTCACCAAGTGGTCATTTCTTCATGAAGGCCTAAAATGAGTCCACTAATTCAATTGGTAGTGTTCACATCATCCAGACAGCGATGTGGACACCAGACGAAATATCCTGCTCCTTTGTAGTGAAGAAGATAGGAGATTCAGGACCCAGCATAATTTTTTACTAACTATTATAGCAATTAGTTGGGAAGGATGTTGGATCCAAAGGGTGGGGAGTATGAATGTATGTAGCTCTGCTGTGTGATTTAATTTTATTAACAATTATAATTAATCATTTAAAGTGACAAACACCAATATAAGCCTTATTCAATAAAAAAGTAATACTTTTGAGTGTTTATGTGTCATATGCCAGCCAATCAGAGTTCATTGTACTAAATTAGGCCCAGTATACAATGAATCAGATTGGTTACTATGGTTTACTGCATTTACGTCTTTATTAAAAAAGGACCATCATTGTTAATATGTTCTTACTGATCTTAATCACACTGCAGTTAAAAAGTCCTATTATGGTACTAAGCAGTCAAGTACCCAAGCCTGTTGGTATGAAATGTTTAATTTGAGTTGAAAGATGTTAGTGCATGATAAATCCTTAGCGTACTTGATAGGACAGACTGCTCCTTTTGAGTGCCACTGAAAACAAATCATCCCCTTGTTTTTGGTAATCTGAAACAAATTATGAGTGGCTGCCCTATCCTTGTGCACGCTGACTAATAAGTTCACAGCTTGGAGAGTTCTCATTTCCTTCCCTAAAAGGGAACGAGTTAAGGAGACTTGTATACTGTAAATATCTCTGGCATTTAGGATGATTGTACCTTTCAGTTTTTTACTTTCATTCTGAAAAGGGTACACCCCTTTGGAGTTTGAAACAAAAATCCCTTTGATCAGTACTAAACATTCATGATTAGTAAGCTCCTTTAACATGACTAACAAGTGCCTTCCAAAACAGAACTGAAAATTTCTTTTTATTTAAAGGTAGTTTTTATGAACTTTTTGCAAGATAATGATACAATAAAAGAGACATTACATTAACAGAACAAACAGTCTGGATCTCTTTTTGGCGTAAAACAGGGGATATAAATAAGGAGACTAAAGCTGGCCATACACATATAGATTTTTTTTTCTGCAGACTGAAAATAAAAAAATCTATCAGGCCTGAGAAAGCAAGTGGGAGCCATTGGCTCCAGCTGCTGTCAATCACATTCAGTCAGCCAATGAGGAGAGAGGGGGCAGGGCCAAGTCACAACTCTGTGTGTGAATGGATACATGGAGCAGAGAGTGCCCAAATAGCTAGCTGCTTGCTATGGGGGCAACCGACAGAAAGGAGGATCCAAGAGAGCCTGTGGGGGACCTGTGGAGGATCAAGGCTGTTCTGTGCAAAACCACTGCACACAGCAGGTAAGTATAACATGTTTGTTATTTAAAAAAAAAAAAAATCTTTAGTATTGCTTTAAGAAGGTATCCTTTCAGTAGTGTGCAATGACTTTGTTCCATAAATGTAGGTTCAGATAACCATTTGGGATGCATTCTCCAGAGGCAGATGCCCCACAACCCAATGTATCTTAAGGTTTATGCCAGTGGAAAAACAAAAATGCCCCTAGGGAGGTAATCAACATCAAGGACCTGCAGGAGCAAAGATGAGGTACAAAATGATGGGTCAGTGTGAGAAAATGTGGTACTATAAGTCTGAGCAATCCAAGGCTTTTCTTAAGGACAAAAACCATGAGCCATACAGAGGGTGCCTTGTAAACATACATTTTTTAGAATAAAAGCTTTGAATGTGGTCCCCTGGTGTTCCATGATATTACTTTAATATTGTTAAGCAAAAGGATGGAACTCACATAGCCCTGTCAGGACCTGGATCTGAAGCGAGGCCTCTTCTGTGACTGGTAATAACACTACGTGCTGAGCCACCTGAAATGCTGAACAGCCCCCTGTCTGATTTCTTAAGACTACCTTGCCCTGTGTCTTGTTTGTCTTGAACCTTGAACCCTGTGCTCTTTTCATGAACTTCTTTATAAAGCCATGCCTTTGTACTTCCTGCTTGCCAGATTACTGTGCACTCTCCAGCCAATATCTTGCTCGTGTCACTCCTGCTGCCGCCTGTATCTTCGCTACCACTTGTTACAGACCTTTGGCTTGTTCCTCGACTATGCTTCCGTTTTATTCCAACCTGCACCACTTGTTACCAAACTTCAGCTTGTTCCTTAACTATGCTTTTGCTTGAACTCTACTTGCTATATCTGCTACTGGACCCTGGCTTGCTCACCTCCTGGTGGGGTGATCCTGAGGACTTGAACCTGGTACTAACATTAAAGCAGAGCTCCACCCAAAAGGTGAAGCTCTGCTTTAATGCTTTGTCCCTTGCTCCCGGTTCAGGACTGGCACCTGTGATCGCCTAAGCAATCCGCTGCAATCACCTAGGTAATCGGAAGAGGAAGTTGTCCACCCCCCTTCCTCCCCATAGTCTTTTGGGACACATGACAGGTCCCAGAAGACTAAGGGGCCATTCACAAAGTGCAGCGCTACTAACACATGCGCAGAGGGCACCCGGCTGTGAAGCCGCAAGTTGCCTCCACTGAAGATGCCAGTGCTGAGGAGACAGGACGGTCGGTCAACCCAGCCAGTGTGAAGATACCTTGGGATTGAGGGACAGGTGAGTGTCAATTTTCTAAAAATCAGCTGCTACAGTTTTTGTAGCTGCTGATTTAAATTTTTGGAAAATTCTGACTGCACCTCCGCTTTAAGCAAAACTCATCTCCACAATCAAGAGCTCTGGTGAAAACCAGTTAGCACTTAGACCACGCACCTCGGGTGAGCCTGCGTCATCTGCCAGGGTGACCTGCTTGTATACCTATCCTGCTGGTCAGTGGGAATTCCTCTACTGTTATAGCTACTGGCCTCCGAGCCTGATCCTGGACAGTGACAAATCCACTCATAGGGAACAGAACTTGGAAATAGTGTCTTGTCTAGTGTGAAGATAGGGCACACCTGGTACATCTCACAGAGGTCAAAAACATACAAAAAAGAACAAGTTATAAACAGCTCCATGAACTAAAGACCAAGCCCCTTCACTCCCCAGTAATTTTCCCATGTATAATGGCTTTGATTTCCTGTAATAGAACCATCAGAACATTAAACAGTAAAATATTGAAGGAAAGAATAGCAGACATGTGCCTACACCCTACAGTTGCACATAAAGAAGTAACATTAAAAGTAAGTAACAGAACTCATAGGTAAAGAAAAGATCCAAACCCAGGGAAGTTGAACTACATTTCCTACACAGTAAGTGTTGTGGGATTGGTGGTATGTTGCATAGGATAGGCAAGTTCACAAAGGGTAAGGATTTGTCAGAAGACAGGGTCAATATGGCCAAGCTCCAGAATCTAAGCGTGAACAAAATTTGAGAAGATAGGACTCTCTCTGCAGACAAAGTCTGTTGGGAGGTTTAAAAAAAGAGCTCCATTCAGGCAAAGGAGAAATAGGGAAAACATGGCCTCAAGAGTTGAGTACACACTATGTACAGTGCTCAGCATAAATGAGTACACCGTAACAGATTTGTCAGAAAACCTTTACTTTACTAATTCATTTCAGAATCAAAATTTTCTATGGGATTCTATACTACAAAATACTCCTACAAATGCGGGCCATTGATTGCAAACAAGATTTGTTAATTTGCACACACAAAAAAATATTTTTCCTAATGAATTCTTTCAAGACCATGTTGCAAAAATGAATACACTCAAATGAAAGTCTTAGGAGCAAAGCTAAATTTTAGACAACAAAATCCTAATTAACAAGAATTCATCTACAGGTGAGTCTAATTATTAAACAGGTGTCCAGCAGACTGTTGATTATAAAAGGGCGTTACTTAACAAAGAAAAAGCCTTCCCATTTTATGCTGTCAGCAACGGCACCACATGGAAGAGAAATGTCACAAGGCCTGAGAAAGAAAATCATTTTTTTTACACAAGAAAGGTGAAGGCTACAAGAATATAGGCAAAGCTTTAAATATCAGTCAGAATACTGTAGCAAAAGTGATACAAAAATTTAACAAAGGTGGAACTGCAACCATCTCACAGACACGTCCAGGCCATCCACGGAAGTTAACACCTCAAAAGGAGCATCTTCTGATGAAAAGGGTTGAAGAAAATTGCCATGCAAGTTCACTGCAGTTAGATAAAGTGTTAGAAAGACAAACTAGGGTGATTGTTTCCCATGACAAAATATGGCGTACACTGCAGAAGAATGGCATGCATGGGTATCCTCCAAGAAGGAAGCCTTCCTAAGACCCATGCACATAAAAGCCCACCTAGAATTTGCCAGGGTCCATGCTGAAAAAGAAGAAGACTACTGGGACTCTGTACTCTGGAGTGATGAGATCAAGATAAATGTTTGTGGAACTGATGGCTTCAAAACTGTATGACGTTGCAAAGGTGAGGAGTATAAAGAAAAATGCATGGTGCCTACAGTGATTCATGGTGGTGGTAGTGTCCTTCTGTGGGGCTGCATGAGAACTGCTGGTGTCAGGGAGCTGCATTTCATTGATGGTATCATGAATCCACAGATGTACTGCTCTATACTGAAAGAGAAGATGCTACCATTACCCTGTGCCCTTGGTCATCGTGTACTTTTCCAACATGACACTGATCCAAATCACACATCTAAGGCCACTGTTGCATTTCTGAAGAAGAACAGGGTGAAAGTGATTCAGTGGCCAAGTATGTCTCCTGATCTGAACCCAATCGAACACCTATAGGGAATTCTGAAGAGACATGTTGAGCATCACTCTCCATCCAGCACCCAGGCTCTAAAAGAGGTCCTGTTGCAATATGTTGCCAACTTCTTCATTCCATACCTAGAACACTTGGTGCTGTCCTTACAAATCATGGAGGTCATACAAAATACTAGATGGAGTAGTTTTTGTTGTAGGGTGTATTCATTTTTGCATCAACTAATTTGAGTAAAACTGAAGATTTTGTCATCTAAGTTATATTATTAACCTTACTTTCATGTAATGAGCTAAAAAAATGTTCCATAAAACTCAGCTTTGTCAAAATTTTGGAAATTGTTCTTGTGTTCATTGAGATATTGCTTAAAATTTTACTTTTCAAAAGGGGTGTACTCAATTATGCTGAGCACTGAGACGACAGATGGTGTCCTGGGCTATTTTCTCCCAGATCTGGACCAGGGCACCACTGAGCTCCTGGACAGTCTGAAGTCCAACCTGGCGGCGTCGGATGGACCACAAAATGATATCCCAGAGGTGTTCTATTGGATTTAGGTCAGGTGAGCATGGGGGCCATTCAATGGTATCAATTCCTTCATCCTCCAGGAACTGCCTGCATACTCTCCCCACATGAGGCTGGGCATTGTCATGCACCAGGAGAAACCCAGGACCCACTGCACCAGCATAGGGTCTGACAATAGGTCCAAGGCTTTTATTCCAATACCTAATGGCAGTCAGGGTGCCATTTTCTAGCCTGTAGAGGTCTGTGCATCCCTCCATGGATATGCCTCCCCAGACCATCACTGACCCACCACCAAAACGGTCATGCTGAACAATGTTACAGGCAGCATAATGTTCTCCATGGCTTCTCCAGACCCTTTCACGTCTGTCACATGTGCTCAGGGTGAACCTGCTCTCATCTGTCAAAAGCACAGGGTACCAGTGGTGGACCTGCCAATTCTAGTGTTCAGTAATAAATGCCAATCAAGCTCTATGGTGCCAGACAGCGAGCACAGGGCCCACTAGATGATGTCAGGCCCTCAGGCCACCCTCATGAAGTCTGATTCTGATTGTTTGGTCAGAGACATTCACACTAGTGGTCTGCTGGAGGTAATTTTGTAGGGCTCTGGTAGTGCTCATCCTGTTCCTCATTGCACAAAGGAGCAGATACTGGTCCTGCTGATGGGTTAAGTACCTTCTATGGCCTTGTCCAGCTCTCCTGGAGTAACTGCCTGTCTCCTGGAATATCCTCCATGATCTTGAGACTGTGCTGAGCAGTGTATTAAAATTTTCAAGCAACAGTAGGTAAGAGAGGAATATCTGAGAGTACACCTTAAAAAGAAAATTAACAGGCTCACTTAAACGTTCTAAGGATTGAGGATTCAAGAGAGATCTAGAACAGGCCATGTGAGTGGTTATTTAGGGCTACTTATTGGACTTGGTATCTGGAGGTGCTACGCGTCAGGGAGGAGCTCCTCTCTTCCAGCCAGTTGGAGTTCTCTAAGGTGGTCATGAAGCAGGGCATTTCCCCACAATCCATCACTTGACGCTTGATAAGGTATAGCATAGTATGAGCAATACCTTCATATTGGAGGTTCTTTTCACCATCTACAAAATAAATGTGTTTTTTCTGTGAGAAAGTCAGGGTATACAGATATTTTGGCACTGTTAAATGGTAAGGTTTCCTTCTTACATGCAGCTCTCAGTATGCTCTTGGGTTTTCAGGAGCATCCAGCTTGTTTCTATAGGAGGAAGGTTTCTTTTCAACAGTACGAATGTCAGCAGAAAGTGGGGAAACAGCATCCTCAAAAGAACTATAAGCTCTTCTGTCAATGTGTTTTTTTCTTTAAGGGACTGCATGTCTTGTTTGATCAGAGAAAGTTCAGCATGAACACCATCTATATGAGAACTGAGGAAAGTCTAACTATTATGGATAGTGTCTATAAATTGGGACAGGGTGGGTTCCCAGTGGTCTCCAGATTCTCCCCATTTCTCTTTGTGTCAGAAGTGTCAGTTTAGCAATAATGTACAACGGGCGCTCCTTTATTCAGTAGGGTAGATGTGGAGGAGAGATCTTCCACAGAGCTGAGAGCTGTATCTGTGTGTGTTCCTCCTGCGGCTGTGAGGAAAACCAGCACCCTGCTGAGTGTGGTAGAGGCAGGTTAGAGGAAATGTGTGCACTGGAGCAGGAAAATGCACTTCAGGATGAAGGTAAAGGCAGTAGACCTAGTACAACTAATGTCCATCCATGTCAGCTACTATGCCACACACCTAAGCTCCACATTTCTTCAGCTCTGCACTATTAGGCTGAAAAGCTTGTTTCACTAGCCCAAAGGAAGAGGACAGTGTTCACATAAGGTGTGTCTATTCAAATCAACCACTAGCCACCGACAGAAGAACCAGCATACTCTGAATGGCTGATACAAAATGAGACCTGCACCATGCTACTACTGAGATATTTATCCACCATACAAGGAGTGCCATAGGAGTTCTCCCTGGGCATGCCACATCCACCATTATTTCAATCATCCAATAACTTATGGCACAGTAACTATTTATCAAAGACAGAGTTAAAATGCATCCAATGGAAAGCTTCACATTTAAAATACTGATGCCAAGCTCCTACAATATATTTCAGGCTATGTCTGTACGTAGAGTTCCTTCAGAATGTTATAGTCATTAAATCAGATGTTTCTAAAAGTATTTTATTGAAGCATTTAACCAAAATTTTGTAAAGATTATTTAATATGTGTACCAATAACTAACTATAATACTTACAGTATTAGTACAATATAGCCATGTGACACACCTTTTTATCTCCTTAGTTTAAATTAAAAAAAAGAGGTGAAGTTGATGTTAATTTAACGACAGATTTGTTCAGCCAAAGCTGTAGTGAAATAAACAGTGGTGATGCCCTATCAGGCCAGTCATGTTGTTTAAATTGTATACCCAGCTCTAGATAAACCTAGTTGTTGTTGTGGTTATTCCCACCTGGAACATTGCTTTAAAGGTTTATGTTCTGGGTTTGTGAGGGTTACCCAGACTATACTGGTTTCTTCTCTTCCCAGATTTAAAAAATGTTCTACTGGCTCTTCTGAAGTTAGATAATGTACCCTAGCATGTGACTGTATGATAGTAATAAGAATTAGAAAAGCTACAATTTCTGGGGAAATTGTGTGAAGTGTTCTTGCCTCCACCAGTAGTCTACAACTGGAGTGGGCGGAGTAACTGGGTGGAGTGGCTTGAGTAACTGTTGTGTGGTTGGAGTGGCTGGAGTAACTGTGAAAAGGTTGGACTGGGCAGAGTAACTTTATGGCGCGGGCAGAGTAACTGTGTGGAGTGTTTGGAGTGAGTAAAGATAGTAAACATTACACTAACCAATTGATTGATCAAATTTAAAAAGTAAGAAATGCATTTCAACTTTTAATTATTTATATAGCACATTTAATTGCAATGTTGTTGCCCAAAGTGCTTCACAGGTACATTAAAACATACATTTATAAAAACATTAGCATCATTATAACTTCAAATACTCTCTACTGTAGAAAACTTATTTCCAAACCTTTAACCAGAAGCAGGCCAAACTGTCACAAATTCAAAATTAGATTTCAAATAGGGCAGAGAAGAGCGGTTAAAAACAAACCGCTCCAAATTGCTCACTTCACTGGTGTCTTCAAATGGTCATAGTTTTAAAAACTATAAATCCTACAGCGAATAGCTTTATATTGTGAGAACCACAAGACCCAGACCTACATGTTGATGCATAGTATGTCTCTGAAATATTAAAAATGAAGGCACAGTTGCAGTGTAGAAATTGTCCTTCAAATTTGAGGTGGCTAGAGTGGGGTTTCAATGAATGTCAATGGGCGACGTGAGTTGCAAACAAATGGTCATATTGTGAAAACTATCAGGACTATGGCTTAGCCGTGGACATTTTTAGTGGCAGCAGGGATAGCTGAATGTTTTGATCTAAGATTTGTGTAGGTGGGCTTGAAAATGAGGGAGTGATGGCAGTTTAGAAATCATGTCCTGATTTTTCAGCTCACACTCTAGCTTTTGTCAGCTCCCACTCTAGTTTTGAACATTCCGCCATTCCTTCCTATGGGACCAATTTCACCACAAAAACGCTGATATTTCGTGAACCATTTGGCGAAACGTTCCACAAAGTAATAGCACACCAATCTGGAACAATCCGCACGTTTCAGTATATTACAGTCTATGTAGTGTAAAAACTATGGGAGGAGTTAGGGTGGTAAATTTGGCTATAATAATAAGAATATATATGTGAGATAACAGTAAATGGTCTTGCCATGCAAGAACACTTAATGAAAAATTGGTAGCAATTACTGATGTGAAAGATCTAACTACTAAGTAAACTCAGTTGAATAAGTTGATGCATAAAAAAATAGATATATGTCCTTACAATAAACTGTTACGATAAAGTATGTCTAAACCCCCCAAAAAACATAAATTGCATTTTACCAGTCCTGCATGTGATGGCTGCATTACCTTATTTCTGGCTTTTTTCCTTTGTTATCACCTGTTTATCCTGCAAAAAACCCACTTCCCTTCCTTGTTGGAAACCATGATTATCACATAAGCTGGACTTTGTTTGCCTTTGTTTGGCTGCATTACATGGGGTGGGGACATTAGTAGTTGACAGAAAAAATAACATTTTCAGTTCAGCTCACAGATATTGACATAGTTACTGCATTTCTGGCAAAATCAACAGGTACTTTCTGTACTTGCTGAAAATGTTCTTATCCAGGAAAATTTAAATAAATGTAGCTGCTGCATCTTAGGACTGGTAAGATTTTTGTTTATAGGGTTAGCTGTCCTTTAAGAAATATTCTGGACAATTGAAAAAGACATCAAAAGTGTGTTTTTTTCCATACACTGATAGAAGCAAACATTTGATGAGCTTGTGGAAAGAGCATTGCTAAGCACTTTTTCTTTTTC